CTGTACTATGTGCCCTTTGATGACAAATGGGAAGATATCAGACTCGGAAACTTATCTGTTACTAAATTCTATGGAAAGTAAGAATAATATAAGCTGTCTTTTGTTTTTCATAGCTATTTTTGCTTCGCGTAACAAGAAAAGTGTAATTTTCCCTCATGCTTCCATCTTAGTGAATATTTGGAGTGCGATTACGATTTTGCCCAAGTTCGAGGACTTAGCGATTTCTCCTCCAAACCTTATCTCGGCAATTTTGAGAGAATCCCCCGACTCTGCTCTATTGCCTTCGTTTTCGAATAAAATTGATTTCAAATCGAGGTTCCAGATTGAAGTGCACGGAATTAATCCAGCCGTTGATTGAAAAGTTTAACTCGTGTCTTCGGTTCAGAGAATTCTGATAGCTTTTATAATATCTGGTACTAGAAACACGTCCTGACTCCCGACTTTGCCCCCGCCCGAGATTTTTCATTATAAATGATGTTAACTCTTTTTAAATGTGCGTAAAACTCTTCAATTTGGTTACTCATTATAAATAATTGTAACTAAATTAAAGAACTGGTTTACGCGTAGGATGTGGCGTAGGACAAAGGTCTTGTAGATTGCCAAAATTATTTTTCTCGTTTTTATGTCGTTTGCAAGTAATATATCAATTTAGCAAGTAATTTGAAAATAATAGTGACAAAAAATGCCAATGAAGTTATACATACATATACTAATGGTTTTGTAATCACTGCCATTATGTACTCGTTAAGCACGATGCTCAATGTAATTATTAATATGTTTTTTATGTTTTCCTCTATTACAGTCTGAACTACGACCGGAACTTGATACCACAATGCTAAAATAGTTTGGTTAGTAACTTACTAGTCTTTCTGAAGTTATTTGATGACAATTTAATGATAGATTTTATAGCTAAATTCAACTATGTCGATAAAGCCTGTGAAAACTGTGCTCTCTATATTATCGATACAATAGATACTATCGATCGTTTTACGCTATTTTAATTAGTTTCATCAATTTTATTGTATGTTTGCCACATTACTACGAACAAAGTGTTTGGTTTTTTTCCACACACATAAAACTACATACTGCTACACTGTGAAGTAAATTGGACCAACTTTGGGGTGATATCGCGAGATTGTTATTTGTTAACGGCTACTGTATCGTAACGTTTAACGTTTGATATCACTTTAACTTCTGTAGCGGTGCTATTATAACTGCTGTAAATAGAACGCGGAATTCGTTGGAATTTTATATTCATATAATCCTATGATTACTTATCAACTTAATATCATGGTGATTCATCCATTATTATTTAATAAAATTACGGTCTACGCACGTTATTTACGACTCGATCGTTATATCTGACGATAATCAGATATTATTTTAGGGTCTTTTACGGACTGGAATCTATTTTCTGCGTATAATGAAAGCCACATTAATTATTCCAAAAGGTCTTATTTTCTCTCAACTGTAATGTCGTTTCTGTGGCTCTTTAATAAGTAGGCAGGAAATAGGCAATTTTCTGATATAAGATTAGTTTGCTTTCTAGATGTAGAGTTTAGTTGCCCTGAAAAAATATTAATCTTCTATAGGTAATATTTTTTACAAAAGAGTTCTAGAAAGATGATAATAATAATATTTATTTATACAAGTATATATTTCGTAGCATCTCTACATGTAAAGACGGCATTTCAGAATTCAAAGGGTCTTGAGAGTCTAGACACATTTTATAGATTTTGTATATTTTATTGTTACAACAATACATTTCGCTTTTATTTTAACGTGCTATAATCAGTTTCTGCATATTCTCGATATTGATATGAAGAATTTCCCTACCTGCAATAATTTCAAATAAGTAAGTAGTAGGTAAGTTTAATGCAAGTCTGCCGGTACGAGATGGATGTATGTGCCTCCATTTTAATCTTATCTCACAACTTGGCCGTTCGGACTTCTTACAAACTTAAATTGGCCGCATAGCCGTTGTTTACAGCAACTAGCGGCATCCAATCGTCCGGGAAATTATTAAGGCGGGCGGATGTTGGGCGGCGCCCGCCCTCGACGCGTCGCCATGGCAACCAACCAGCTGAATTAGTTAACGAATGATGAACCCACCCTCGAATCGACACCGTTCGATTGTTGTCGAGTTTCTATGCATTTTTGCAAGTCTGTTTTATTTACAACTTTTAATTAGTTGCCGGTCGATGCGCATTTTTATTCCTTTTTTCAGTCTTCTATGAACCCATGCTATAACTATATACGTAAGCTTAATGTGGAACAACCTTCTTTTATGGAACTCACTTCGCATAAAAGAAAGATGTAAAAATATCTTCTTGAAATTTTGGTTATTGAAGGTTTTATTTCAGGTTAGTATAACCTGTGGTCGATTTAATTATTAAAAAAAATATAATTTCAACTAAATTGTAAGAAAAGATTTTGAAGTACGATTAAGTGGGGACTTAAGACCTGTATTTAATGCAATGAAACTAAAGTTATGCATTTATCATGAAAGTTTCAATTGATGAATGATGTAGGTACCTTATAGGTCTATTCAAAGTATTTCTAAGTGTTTTCGTGCTTCAATATTCTGTCGCCAGCAGTAATCTTAGTATGATTTACGAAATCTGTGACTAATGAGTGCATTTCGATACCTATAAATTTTGTAATTGGATACGTGTACCAGCAGCGAAACTAATTGGTGAAGAAAAAACGTATCTGTGCGAGTAACACAATTTTCTAATTGGAACAATAGACGTAAACAGTTTTATAAATGTTGAAATTATAATGTTCTTACAAGTTACATTACATTCCTCCCGCAATTCATATTATTCGGAAAGTCATAATTAACGCTAACGTGCGAGTTTTAAAGTAATTAAACGCGTCTACGCCTCTCCGGGCCGCAATGGAGCTACACCATTATGATTGAAGTTATAATGAATTAACAAGTTTTACACAAAGTTAACTCCATAACGAGCCGACTTGCAGACGCGCAGTCTTTTAATCTCATCAGCCCTTGAATGCAAACTCTGCTTCGTTAGATAACCCTATTTGACTTCTCTAGGATTAATAGTGCACTTTTCTTTTTGTGCTTTGGGTGTCGCGACGACGAGGTCTTTGACCGACGCCATCGGTTGCCATAGCGACGTGTACATGACGGCTACACTGAGCATACCTCACACGGGCTATGAAAAAGCTTATTATGAAAAGAGCCTTACAAGGTCTTTTTATTCCTCGTTAAAATTCTGCTTTTATGTCGTCGGCTAGGCAGGTAGCCAGCCTGGCACTTACGCCAGCGCCGTTAAACGCCCTTCGTGTCAGGGGCTTTTCAATTTTAAGATTGTTTTAATTACCTGCTCTGCATGAAACTAAGTAAACGTAAGCGATACCAGTACTCACATTTTCATATTTGAGACTTCTAAAAAATATAATGTCGCATTACTGTCTGTCATTACTGTCATTCAGTTTAGTTTGGGTTGCTGACAGTAGATAAGATAAAAATAAAATGAAATGTACATACTTACTATGTTCGAGCGAGCTACAAGCGTTGTGAAAATCTATTCCAGTAAAATGAAAACAAGATTTTCCTTTTCCAACATGCAATCTGTTTCCAGATCTGTGGTTCAAACTACTAACAAGCGGGCCGCGGGTGAATTTATTTATTCAGTTAGTGGTAGTGCCGGCTGGGTCCAAAATAACTTGGATGCCGACTTCTATTATAACACAATATCGACTGTTCTATTCTATTTACTGTTACGACTTCCGATGTGGCGAATTAAGTTAGGGATGTCCAAAGCGGACGTCAAACCCAAAACTTTTGGAAAAAGGGCTCCCCATTTCACGTCCACTTTCCCTCCTTATTTATTATGTAAATGTTAGACGATTGCATACTCATGCTTATGTTTCGTGTACGTCATCCTATTTATTTACGTTGAGAATTTCGGCAGAGCCCGTTATTTTCCTCTTCAGATCTTTTGTTTGATGTTGTTCGGCCGAAATATCTTTACGGTCGAAGAATTTGTTCGGCTCTCTCATGAAACTGGGGTACATTTTCAGTTACTCGCTGCGCAAAAATGCTTACTAAGTTTTTTAGGCCTAGCTTGTTAGCCGGTGAATGTTCTCATAATAATTTACGAGCTTTTTCAGTTTTATTCATCATGTTATGAATTTTCATATTACAGAGTTGCTTTATTGTGAGTAGGTACCGTAAAAGTTTTTATATTCGCAGCGCAATCGTGTTAGGCTCCATTGCTACAAATTATTGTACATGCTAGCGACTCGTTAGTTTCAGGGAGACCTAATTCTTTATAATATTTTGACGGTAAACGTGCTTGGGTCTCGAAATCATTTGCGATATCATTAACCTTCTGTCATAATGTGTCTGTTCATGCAAATTTCGTTTGTTGGGAACCTTGTTCGTAAATTGCTCGAGTGATCTATCCAGGGTTGCGGCCATGATGTTCCTACGTGCCGCTGGCTGATGGACCGTGAATGGGCGCACCGGATCCCTGCTCCGCTGCGCTCATTGTCCTCTTCCGCGTGCATGTAGCGTGCACGTGCGATCTATCGTCATAACGTTCCCTGCTAACTGTCCCCCATAGTCAATGATCATATCAAATAAACCATCCCATGAATGGGCCTAGGCTTTCAATGGAATGGTGGTATACATACATACAATAAACTAGTGTCTAAGCTGTTATGAACAAGGATGATTTACAGGAATATTTAGAGCGATCTCAATCCTTCCAAATGTCACCTGTTTTAATAGTTGCAATAAAACATAAATGTGTCAAAGGGTTAGTAAATGTTTGTTTCTCTTTGACATTTAGAAATCTTATCTTACGACAACGACATAATTTCTGCATAGGCATAGGTAGGTTCAAAAATAAGTATGTGGATTGCGGATGTCGAAATACGGTTGTGACCGCTTACCTTCAGATTTGATATTCCCTTATAGCCCCTAAATCTGAACGAATATTTATACCATCTTTCTGCTTTGTTTCCAGGGAACAAAACTATGGATAATAATGGAGTACCTGGGCGGCGGGTCGGCGCTGGACCTGATGAAGGCGGGCAGCTTCGAGGAGATGCACATCGCGGTAATCCTGCGCGAGGTTCTGCGCGGCCTGGACTACCTGCACTCCGAGCGCAAGCTGCACCGCGACATCAAGGCCGCCAACGTGCTGCTCAGCGAGATGGGCGATGTCAAGCTGGCCGACTTCGGTGAGTGACACGGCTGCTGTAGGCGGTGCCAGGAGACCACAGCGCGATGATGCTGCGCGACTGGACCCTGCACACGACATCAAGGCCGCCAACGTGCTGCTCAGCGAGATGGGCGACGTCAAGCTGGCCGACTTCGGTGAGTACGCGGCTGCTGCAGGCGGTGCGAGGAGACGCATAGCACGGTGATCCTGCGCGGCCGGACACCTGCACTCCGAGCGCAAGCTGCACCGCGACATCAAGGCCGCTAATGTGCTGCTCAGCGAGATGGGCGACGTCAAGCTGGCCGACTTCGGTGAGTACGCAGCTGCTGCAGGCGGTGCGAGGAACCACAGCGCGATGACGCTGCGCGATTGGACCCCGCACTCCGAGCGCAAGCTACACCGCGACATCAAGGCCGCCAACGTGCTGCTCAGCGAGATGGGCGTCTTCAAGCTGGCCGACTTCGGTGAGTACGCAGCTGCTGCAGGCGGTGCGAGGAGACCACAGCGCGGTGATCCTGTGTGAATGTAGAATTACAGCGCCTCATCGCTCAGTCGACGTAGCGACAACGCCAGGCACTACTAACCCTCTAGACTGAGACCAGTTGAGAATCAATCATTCAAAAAGCAGAGAAATGAATTACTGAAAGCCAAAGTCGCACCCCATTTTCTTCTGCATTCAGTTTACCGCGTGCTCCAAAATATGATCGATTGCATCTATCAGTGGACAGGCAATCCGCAATTACTTTCCAATTTGCGATTTCGCCTCAGATATATTTATTCCATGACAGAGTTTTAATGCTTAGACGTTAATTGATTACATTTGAGCGTGGGTATACCAGAGTACCAGTAAAGTCGCCAAATGCTGTCGCAACGGTCGAGCGGCTGCTCCTTTTGCCGCTATAAAACGAGCGATGCGTGGAGACTGAGCACGAAAATAATAAAACCGTAATCTAATCAATGATCTTTGATACGCGCGAGCGGGCTGGAAGAATTCCGCATATCAGATACATTCAATTACCCATAATCTGTCATATTGGAATATGAAATATGTTTCCTTTGTCGACGTGTTTGTTATGCTGTGCAACTTTCCAGATTTATAGTCTATCCTGTTACAATATACGTCCAATTCTAATCTGGAGACCGTCATAGATAAGCTAGAGACATTCCAAATGCGAAATCGAAAACTAACCCTTACCCTATCATGTACATGACATGAATTCGTAATACGGTCTTAGTATTTCGTTGCTAGCGCCTTGTGCATTTATTATGCATCAAGTGCGAGGTTATGTATGTAGGTGGCAAGACGGCATTACCTTGTTAATCAAAGTCTTCCCGCTACGAGTTAACCCTGCCTAGACTCCGGGGACACTTTGGCACCCGGCCAGTGTTTGATGAATATTTGCGCAGCGGACTGCGCTGCAAAGACAACACGGTTACCCTTTTAATATTAAAAACATGTTTAGTAAACAAACTTTGTTATTACAATGCACTACTTAGTTAACCAGCTGACTAAGAAATTTTGTCGTTAAATCTTAAAATAGAAACGTGGTTGCATGTTATAAAATGGCGTGACGTAGTATTTTTATTTTATGTTGAAAATAGAAACGTGATGCGATTTCCACGTGTAAGATTTTACGTCATTGCAAAACTGTTATCTATTGCATTCATTAAGAAGTTTTCTTCATTAATATTCCTCTTCTACTCTGGGCACAAAATAATTAATCTGTCGAACGATTCAAAGAAAGATATCTAAGAAAGTCAGTCAAAAATGAGCCCTATGTCTGTTATGGTAGAGCCCATCTCTAGTGACCATTTGCAAATTGCAATTGGCTAAAGCCAACTTTATGTTTCCAGGTGTCGCGGGCCAACTAACGAACACAACAAGTAAACGCAACACATTCGTCGGCACGCCCTTCTGGATGGCGCCAGAGGTGATCAAGCAGTCGTGCTACGACAGCAAAGCCGACATATGGTCGCTCGGCATCACAGCAATAGAGTTGGCCAAGGGAGAGCCACCCAATTCCGAGTTGCATCCAATGAGGGTGCTCTTCCTCATCCCCAAGAATAACCCCCCGCAGTTGACGGGGAGCTATTCGAAACCGTTCAAAGAGTTCGTCGAAGCGTGCCTTAATAAGGATCCAGAAAATGTAAGTCATCTCTGTCTGATTCTCATTTGTTTACCAACCACATTCAAAATCTAATATGGCGAAAACTAATTTGTAGAATCTTTAGCTTAGGTATTATCGTCGAGACTTAACGCCAATTATGTCTTAATAGTTCACTAGTTGTATTAAACAATGAGAAATATAAAGCTATTTATTTAAATTAACTTTAGAAACAGTAACAATCGCATTGCAAGTAAGTAATTAAAGCTGAACTGTATAATGTACGAACGTAGCTACGATTGACCAAATGATTTTGAAGATTGCACAAATAAAGGTACTTTACTGTGCCATTTGAGTTAAGCTTTCTCTACGCTACTGTTGATCGCGAATGGCCCCAAAGGAGTTTTAAGCCATTCTGTGGAAGTAAAATAAAGAGCTAAGGAGCAATCTTATTTCCGTTTCTTCGGCGAAGGAAGCAAACGTGATTAAAGGCTCGCTACAGTTAAATAATAGACCGGGTTAATTCACATCGGCCTCTGATCTCTGAATAAACGGTAGCTTAATTAATGGAGCGGCTAATAAAGTTGTTGGATTTTGTGTTAAAAATAGACTTTTATTAAAAAGTTTGATAAGTTTTAAGCTTTAGCCTCAAAATAGTGAGCCATTTTCAACCAACCAAACGAGCAAAAGTTAATCCTATTCGCTCTCAATTAAATTTTCTTTATGATATCCCATGTCGAGCATTCTATCGTTGTTCTATCTTCGTGCGACGTTTTAGGAATTTACTACGAATGCTCGCTTGATCCCGTCCGAATTCTGGTTCAAATATTCTCGCTAATTCTAAGTGATGATAAAATAAATTACCAGATTAACAAGGAGGAATATCGAGCGAGGAATGCTCTTACTCTAGTTTTATGCTTATGTTTATCTCAAATATTTGGAATGGTTTGGTTTGAACAATACACGTCATGTTTATTTAAATTCGGAATGATAACATTATTTTCCACTCAGGTGAATACCTATCGCAATGTTTTCAAATAATAATGCTTATCACTTATTCATAACCGTACTTACGGTAATTTGGCGTTCGTACATTTATTGCATGCTACCAAACAAAGTAATTTAAAGTAACGTAGGCAAATGAAATTAGGTCGATTTAACGTAAATTATTGCACGAGGTTTGCGGTCGGTGCGGTTGAAAAACGTGTAATAATAATGATTGCTCACGTTACCAAATGCGAAATATTATCAATTAATGAAATATTTTGACTATGACTAAATAAATTACAGTGATAGTGAGCTTATTCTAAAAAATAAACTTTTATGACTGCCGTTTGGTGTAGGTTAAGATTTCATGGTTCACGTATCAGAATACTATGTCGGGTAGGGTTGCGGGTTCGATTCCTGTACACTACAAGTAGTATGTGTGTCTGTGAACATATGTATGTTTATGTTCGTTGTTTAGTTATGGGACAAGTTTTGTTTAATTTTATACTAGATGGTGCAGTATTGTGCTAGTGCATTTATTTACGTATTATTTTTGTCACTTTTCCAGAGGCCGACTGCAAAAGAGTTACTAAAGTTCCAGTTCATCAGGAAGGCGAAGAAGAATTCGTATTTAATGGATCTTATAGATAGGTATAAGAAGTGGAAGGCGCAGCGAAGCGAAGAAAGCGAAACCGAGTCGGAGAACTCAGATTCGTACGTATTCCATTACAAATTTAACAAACCAGCTTCGTACGTATTCTGTTACAAATTTAACAAACCCATATTTCCCATGGGCCACTGGAAAGTAATTTGCTTACAATTTCCAGCCTCTAATGTTTTTGTGAAACACGAATACATTGGGGCTTTGTTTTGCATAATGATTTTGATTTATCGACTTGATACGACTCTTGGAAGCATTTATTTATACGGTGTTTGAGAGAAAGACCCTGAATGTAATAAAAAGTCTATTATGAAAATAAAATAAATATCAGCTTTTGTTGCTATACTTATAGTACCACTAAAGTGACCAATGCGTAACGGTAGAACAAGTTACTGTTCTGAACTTCGTTCGTTCGGTTCAGCCAAATGACGTCCACTGCTGGACAAAGGCCTCCTCCAAGGTTTTCCACAATGCACGGTCCTGCGTTGCCCGCATCCAGGCTCTTCCCGCGACCTTTACGAGTTCGTCGCTCCACCTAGTAGGAGGCCTGCCCACGCTACGTCTTCCAGCCCGTGGTCGCCACTCGAGAACTTTTCTGCCCCAACGGCCATCGTTCTGAACTTAAGTGTTCGCTAATAAAGCTAGCAGCTGGAGCATTCATGGTCAATTTGAAATTATGTTTGAATTATGTAATAAGACCAGGGATCAGTAGCCAGGCATGTATTTTCAATGTAAAGCCTCCTCTATCCGTAGACCAGCTCTAGCCTGAAAACCAGTGAAGACCACGGAGGCTGTCAAATATTTTTAAACAAAATTATTAGTGACTTTATAAATTGTTGAAATTGTAGTATGTTTTGTTTAATCCACAACGAGGAAGCTCCTGGCCTGTATCTCACCTGATGGTAAGTGATGATCAATCCAGAACAAGCCCTACCACCAACCAAACCGAACAGAAAAATTTGCCCCCACTGGGAATCGACCCCGGGACCTCTGCGTCTGAAGCAGGTGGGCTTACCACAAGACCATAGAGGCGGTTAATGTTATCAACACATAAATAAATTAACATCTGTGTTTTCAGGGAGGAAGGCAGCCGCGGCGACGGCGAGGCCGACGAGCCGTGGATCATGACGGTGCGCGGCGGCGCCGGCGCCCGCGCGCTGCAGCCCGCGCTCCCCGCGCACCCGCCGCACCCCGCCCACCCCCCGCCGCACGTCCCGCCGCACCCGCAGGACGACAAGCAGCGCCGGGCGATGATGGACGACACAGGTACACATTCTAATGTGAATCGTAACGCTATGGTGTTACGGTGCATTACTGTTCGTTACTGATCATGACGGTGCGCGCGAGCTCTCCAGCCCGCGCTCCCCGCCCACCCGCCGCACCCCGCCCACCCCCCGCCGCACGTCCCGCACGCGCAGGACGACAAGCAGCGCCGGGCGATGATGGACGACACAGGTACACATTCTAATGTGAATCGTAACGCTATAGTGTTACGGTGCATTACTGTTCGTTACTGATCAGCTCTCCAGCCCGCGCTCCCCGCGCACCCGCCGCACCCCGCCCACCCCCCGCCGCACGCGCAGGACGACAAGCAGCGGCGGGCGCTGATGGATGACACGGGTATGTGGATTTTGGAAATTGAACCGTAATTATATGGTGTTACGGTGTATTATTACCTAAACGCCGTAGTTTATGACGGCGCGAGGGCTCTCCAGCCCGCGCACCCCCCGCACACCACCCACCCGCCGCCGCACGCGCAGGAGGACAAGCGCCGGGCGATGATGGACGACACAGGTACACATCGTAATGTGAATCGTAATACTATAGTGTTACGGTGCATTGCTCTTCGTCACCTAAACGCCGTGGCACCCCCCGCCGCACGCCCCGCCGCACGCCCCGCCGCACGCGCAGGACGACAAGCAGCGGCGGGCGCTGATGGACGACACAGGTACACATTCTAATGTGAACCGTAGCGCTATGGTGTTACGGTTTACGGTGCATTACTATTATACGCGAGAGCACTAGCCCGCACCCTACTCAACCCCCGCCGCACGTCCCGCCGCACGCGCAGGACGACAAGCAGCGCCGGGCGATGATGGACGACACAGGTACACATTACAATTAGAACCGTATTGATATGGCGTTACGGTGCATTACTGTTCGTTACTGATCATGAAGGCGCGAGGGCGCTCCAGCCCGCGCTCCCCGCGCACCCGCCGCACCCCGCCCACCCCCCGCCGCACGTCCCGCCGCACGCGCAGGACGACAAGCAGCGCCGGGCGATGATGGACGACACAGGTACACATTACAATTAGAACCGTATTGATATGGCGTTACGGTGCATTACTGTTCGTTACTGATCATGAAGGCGCGAGGGCGCTCCAGCCCGCGCTCCCCGCGCACCCGCCGCACCCCGCCCACCCCCCGCCGCACGTCCCGCCGCACGCGCAGGACGACAAGCAGCGCCGGGCGATGATGGACGACACAGGTACACATTACAATTAGAACCGTATTGATATGGCGTTACGGTGCATTACTGTTCGTTACTGATCATGAAGGCGCGAGGGCGCTCCAGCCCGCGCTCCCCGCGCACCCGCCGCACCCCGCCCACCCCCCGCCGCACGTCCCGCCGCACGCGCAGGACGACAAGCAGCGCCGGGCGATGATGGACGACACAGGTACACATTACAATTAGAACCGTATTGATATGGCGTTACGGTGCATTACTGTTCGTTACTGATCATGAAGGCGCGAGGGCGCTCCAGCCCGCGCTCCCCGCGCACCCGCCGCACCCCGCCCACCCCCCGCCGCACGTCCCGCCGCACGCGCAGGACGACAAGCAGCGCCGGGCGATGATGGACGACACAGGTACACATTACAATTAGAACCGTATTGATATGGCGTTACGGTGCATTACTGTTCGTTACTGATCATGAAGGCGCGAGGGCGCTCCAGCCCGCGCTCCCCGCGCACCCGCCGCACCCCGCCCACCCCCCGCCGCACGTCCCGCCGCACGCGCAGGACGACAAGCAACGCCGGGCGATGATGGACGACACGGGTAATGTGGCTTCTAAATTGAACCGCAATGATATGGTGTTACGGTGCATTACTCTTCGTCACCTACTCGCCGTGGATCATGACAGCGCCAGCGCTCCCCCCGCACCCTACCCACCCGCCGCCGCACGTCCCGCCGCACGCGCAGGAGGACGACACAGGTACACACTCTAATGTGAACCGTAATGGTATGGTGTTACGGTTTACGGTGCATTACTATTATACGCGAGAGCACTAGCCCGCACCCTACTCACCCGCCGCCGCACGCGCAGGACGACAAGCAGCGGCGGGCGATGATGGACGACACAGGTACACATTGTAATGTGAACCGTAATGCTATAGTGTTACGGTGCATTACTATTCGTCACCTACATGCCGTGGATCATGACGTGGTCCCGACACGAGTAGGAGGATAAGCAGCACAGGTATGTTAAATTATGTAGACCTACGCATAATGTTGGGGATTGCCTCTGCGCAAGCCTCGCATCGCAATACCGCGCGCTTGATGACAAGCACATGTATGATGTTGTTGTTATTCTTTAGGGGGTGGGACAACACAGGTACACATCCTAATTTGAATCGTAACGCTATGGTGGATCATGACGTTGCACGATGCCACTCTGTGAGGCTAGAACATAACTGGTAGAACATGAGCTATCGGACTTTTTCTCACCCTTTTCTTTACCTAGGAAAATAGTCGGTGTGGTCTGAACCCACTAAAAACTTTTTTCCGCCGCTTAGTGTTCGGCGCTTGTTCTTACCACTACAACTTCAAACAGGACTGCCATCAATTGAAAAATACAATATCGACAAAAGGTCTGAATCATTCTGTCGGCCGTTTGGTGTAGTGGTTCAAAACGGACAACTATTCCGGAGGTAGCGGTAGTTCGATTCCCGCACAGTACAAACATTTGTGTGCATGAACATATTTGTTTGTATTGGACTGGGTGTTTTCTATGTATAATAAGTATGTATTTACAAAAAAGAAAGTATTTAAGTACGTTTATATCCGTTGTCTAGTACCCATAGTACAAGCTTTGCTTAGTTTGGGACTAGAAGCGCAGTGTAAAATGTCCAAGGATATTTATTTATTCTGTGTTTGTTTCCAGTGGTGATCCCGCGGCCGCACTCTCCAACGACGGTTGGCAACGGCGCAGTGGTGGGACGCAGCGACGAGCCCGAGCCGCTCGCCAAGCCGCCGCCCATCAACAACAACACCGACAAACACCCGGTATGTACTATTAAAGGCCGGTAGATCTATTCTCATAAATAAAACACTGGATACTTAACTTTCACAGTATATTTCACAGTATTATTTTAGATACAAATCATCACTTCGCACAAAAGCGCGCGGAGTCGTCTCCGCGCGATCCTCTATTCTGACGTTTCATCCTAGTGTGACATTGACAATAAGTCAATGTCACTATGACAGCATCTCATTGGCCACAACGATACCGTTATTTTAACGTTTTAGATTTTTCATAATTAACAGTACTCATTTGATCTTTGTTTATTCATTAACACAAATCACAAAAGCATTTATGTCTCTCACTTGAGTACATTAACAATACAAACAAATAAATAAGCAGTACATACAACAAAAAATAAATATGCAGTAAGCAAACACAGGTTGCAAGCACTCTGCATATCGAATGATAATTTTTAAGTTCCAGTCTAGTTCAGGCAAATTCCTGAAATGTGTTATTTCATTGTGGATGCAATAAAAATATTGACTATTGACTATACACTACACGCTCATCAAACCTCAAAATAGAAAACACTCATTGAGTGAAAAAAAAAACAGCGTTGTGGTCACTGTAAAACATCCATATCGTGAAATTTGAGTCTTGGACAATCACACTAATAAATTAACGCATTAAACTCACCAATTCAGTTATTAAAGACTTGTCCCCTTATTAATAAAAAAAATACATCCTAGTTGAACACTGTTTTAAAGTGACATTATCACATTATCAGATGCTCCGCCGCGGTACACGGGACGACAGATTTAATCATTGTATGCAAGTACCTCAGTTTGTATAGAAAACACGCGCGGCACAACACACTGAAAACGCGTCTGCGCAGGGATTCTTTATATGTAGCCACGTGGACCGTGGTGCAGTGTGATAATCGTCTAAAACAGTGTTCAACTGGGGTGTAACTTTTTATTAATAAAGGGGGGATCAACCCCCTTATTGATGTGTAATGTTGCTTCACAAAAAAACTAAAATTCTACTTCCATTTCACAACGTTCCAGCCTCGACAATCGCCGAACGTGCCTACACCGGTAGTGGAACAGCGAAGCGCTAAGGAGAGAGAGCGCGAGCGCGAGCGAGACAGGGACAGGAGCGAGCGAGACGAGCGCAAGGAGCGCGCAGACCACGCCCCCTCCAACCGCGACAGTGTAGTTTATAATAATAAAGCCGTGAGTACAACGTTGGATTTATAAAGTCAGAATAATAAAACCTAGTTTTATTCTTGGTTTTTGTTAATTTTACGTGGCTCAAAGGGGCTAAAGCCCGGTCTGTGAGCACTTTGAATTTTGCACACCCACTGCGGGCGCCCGTACAGTCGCGACAGCAATATAATTACGCGCGAGCGATAAGGATGGGTAGCTTGGGGTCATTGGACAAAATTCTACGTGCTCGCAGACTAGACTATAGATCCCAGAGCCGTAAAACCACACACAAAAAACGTTTTTACTAATGTATTTAGTCGATGGAATAATAGTATTTAATCTTGTACGAGGGTTTGGAAAATACGAAATCAAGCAATCACTTAGTCCATTTTTATTTATTTTCAGGCTTCGCCTTTAGACCATAGAGGAACCAATAGTGAAGAAAACAAAGTTAGAAGGCATCCATATTTGCAGCAGCTAATTTATCCATTACTAAATGAGGTAAGTTATACAGTGTGAGTCACGTTAAAGTGTACATATGAAAATAGATGAAACTAGAACTATTTTTATTGACAAAAAAGAGGTCAAATTTTTTTTGAATTTTTTTTTAATTTTTTATCGAATTTTTTTTCTTCCAATTACTTATTGTAAAGAAAACGTAATAACTTTTAAACTAAGCGGTATATCCTTATAAAATAAAAACAATAATAATGCTAAATAACAGGCGATACTAAAAAAATACATAAAATACACAAAAAAGGCCAACAAATAATAAAAAATGATACTTTTTGAAAAAAATCTGCTTAAAAATTCGTGTTTTTTTGGTTATTTGATAATTTTTCCCAAAAAATGCCCCTATAACCGGTGGTTTTTATTACTTTGTATTATTCTCTATCGTATTACCTTCGTAAAACCAAAAATCGCATGTCTCTATCCCTATCACAACGTTTGCAATGATTGTTTGAACTAAGCCTCTCCGGGCGCGCCATTCAACGCTTCGTTAAGAACGAAACTGAAAATGGCTCTAGATTTGTAATTTTGATAAAGAAAAGTTAGATTTCAAATAAAAACAAAAGATTTCGTAGTAAAATAAGCATTTTAGTAAAAATTAAAATTGTCTCTACCTGTAGCGGAGAATAATGTTGTGGCAGGCCTTTGTTCAAACGATCATAGCAAATGTTGTGATAGGGATAGAGACATGCAATTTTTGGTTTTACAAAGATAATACGATAGAAAATAATACTAAGTAATAAAAACTACCTGTTATAAGGGCATTTTTTTGAGAAATTTATCAAATAACCAAAAAAATACGAATTTTTAAGCAGATTTCTTTCAAAAAGTCTCATTTTTTATTATTTGTTGGCATTTTCTGGGTCTTTTATGTATTTTTTCAGTATCGCCTGTGATTTAGCATTATTACTGTTTTTATTTTATCACGATATACCGCTTAGTTTAAAAGTTATTACGTTTTCTTTACAATAAGTAATTGGAAGAAAAAAAATTCTATAAAAAATTAAAAAAAAATCTCAAAAAATTTTTGACCTCTTTTTTGTCGATAAAAAAAGGTCTAGTTTTATCTATTTTCATATGTACACTTTAACGTGACTCACACTGTATTTTATTACTAACATACATACAACTACATAACCTAGATGTACCTATTAAAATAAGTAAAGAATAGATTTAGAAAAAAAAATGCTTTCAGGGACTATTTATTATAGTCATAACATTTGCCCGAGACGCGCTCCCATGATAGGAAATATGCATCGATTTTAAAAATTGTGTATAATAAACACTTTAGTTAAATTATAGAATTTCCGAATAACTAGTACTGAAATCGGACTGGAAACAAAAAAGTTATAAGTATATATATATATGTATACTTTAAACTTTGTATGGAAATAGCGTGACATCAAATGTCACCCGTGCCGTTTTAACATGACCAATGACGTCATGAGATCTCTAACGTCTATATCTTAGATATCTTGTATACCCATTCTTATGATACACCATACAAGAATGCATGGTAAATTCAGTGAACTGCTCCTGAATCGAATGTACCTACTACTATTTCTATTTATTTATATTAACCGGCAGACAGTGGTGACTGAGTTTGTTGCGGCGCTTCTTCTCAGCACTTGCCAAATGTTGGTCTCGAAGCGCTGGTAGGGTAAAAAGATTATGAGACATGTAGAGGCTCCTTAAGAGCAAAATGAGGATTTGTAAGAACTATTTATTAGTCTAAACAAATAAAGAAACTTTGACTTTGAATTTTTTGTATAATTTATACATCTTTTGAATATGAAGTTTATGGTGCCACATAACATGTGCCTTCATGAGGTTTGTCTGGTCGCAGCTGTCGCGCAAGCACGGCGCGGGCAGCGCGGCGGCGGTGGAGGAGCTGCGGCGCGCCTTCGAGCACGCCGAGCGCGCCGCGCCGCACCTCACGCGCGCCTTCGTGCAGCAGGTAACACCAACATCATCATTAGATTATCATCATCTCAGCCATAGGCCGTCCACTGCTGAACATAGGCCTCCCCCAATGATTTCCATATCGCCCGTACCTTTATGAGGTCGTTGACAACAGTTCTTTGTTTCAAATATAAAGAACTGTAGATGTTGATACGTATTAACATCGAAAAATTTAGAAGATGAATTAAAAAAAGGGGTTTCTTTCTATATTCTGGTCGCCGAACACGTAGAATTTCGTCCAATGACCCCAAGCTACCCATCTTTATCGCTCACGCGTAATTATATTGCTGTCGCGACTGTGCCACGAGCGCCCACAGTAAGTGTGCGATCGCGATAGCAACATAATTACGCGCGAGCGATAAGGATGGGTAGCTTGGGGTCATTGGACAAAATTCTACGTGCTCACGGACCAGGCTTTAGGTATAAAACTATCTTTCACTGTTGTGTAATATTAGTCATTGAAGGAGGTTTGATGAATACTTACTTGCGTCATTGGTAAGGCCCGGTATCCACCAAAGCGAAGCGGAGCGAAGAAGTGTTTTGGATGGAAAGGGAAAGAAAGAATTCTTTCCCGCCTCGCTCCGCCTTGATGGCAACCGGGCCCAAGGAGATTTTTTTATTTTCTCTTTGTAAATAGCTAGCACTGTCTAATGGATTCTAGAGGCTAGAATTTTGAATTTCTTACTATGCAATAGTTCTTAAAGGTTTTAAACCTTTGTTTGTCACCTGTCATCCGCTTTGCAATGGAGGGAAGTCGAACCTTAATTTCGAACTCCTCCTATGTTTTTCTGATTAATTTCGTTGCGGGTCTAATGACAGTTTAACTTTCCCCCGGGACAAACTTGACCTTCATTGGTTGGGTTTGTGGCGGTCAAGCTGTAGATCCTGGCTACACAGGAGTTGCAGTGGTGGGAACGAGAGGTGGGAATAATCCCGTATGCAATAGTTTGATAAACTACCATTCTACTTAATTTGTCTAACATTCTGATGTTGTTTCTGCAGGTGGTGCAGAGGGTGGCGACGCAAAGCCACGCGCCGCCGCAGCCCGCGCCGCAGCACTGGATGAGGTTCGTTGGCGGCTTTGTTACATTACTATAGTTCTAGCGCTTAACTCAGTATACGGCACGGGAGGGGTGACGTTTACATATTATGACGTGATAGAGCATACAAATCTGAAGTCTCTGAACCTCTATGATCCATAGAGGTATAGAGAAATGCCAACAGAATGCGCTGAGTTCGAAACTCAGTGTCGCATTAGAAATTCACACACAAAAAAATCAAAATATGTGCTCATTATCCACTGCGGTATCAGTACTCAACGTTTAAATAATCTTTAGTACTACGCAAGCAATGTAAGCTGTTTACATTATGACGTCGCTGCTGTCATCTTTGCTGTCACGAGCAATGTGTTCTGTTTTTGGGCATATTGCTGCAACACTAGCCACGCCCCCTTGTCCCATCTCCCTTTAGTTTCTGTGATCTGTGGGTTTGAACGTCACAAAATCACCCTCCCGCGCCGCACCCACCACACCTCAGGCACTGACTTACTTAAGCGTTAAACCTATAATGCATAACATACTATTGTAGATAGAAATAGAGTTGCCATGTAAAACTATCCCAAGAACTCCAAAAAAATCATACATCGAAATTAATTTATTTGCTTGATAAGTCGTACTCAAGATGACAAATAGTGAGTTGCAAGTATCTTACAAATTATTCAGTCAATTAACAAAACCCTGGTACTGTTGTCTCTTTTCTATGCCTAATCGAGTCGTTTCTCTTCTGCAGGGATCTATAATAGAGTGGGCAGGTGGGTGGCGCCCTGCGCTGTGTTCTCGCTTCCCTTCCCGCGGCTACACCCCGCGCGCTCGCACGCCCCGCCACGACCCGGCACGGCCCACACGCGGGTCATTTACGACCCATGGGTCCCACACAACCAGACTGGCCCTCACCGGGCCCCTTTGTGGCCCTCCACCTAGGCCCAATGAGGCCGATGTGATCTCCGCTCGGGTCCAACCCTGCAGGACCCAACAGGTCCGCTCCCCATTTGGCTTGTTTTGTAAGAATGGCTCAAACGAGTTGATCCCAGCCATTTAAGAAGTGCGTTTGATTTTTATTTTATCAAAAAGTGAACGTGGACAGTTGAGCTGTAAACATTACATGATGCGAGCATGAAGTGCCGATTGTGATTCATCGCAAAACGTTTGCATGTCGCACTAGCGCTAATCAAATTGAATCGTGAGCATCATGTAAATGTTGTTTTTAAATTGTTTTGTTCTTTTAACTGGTTTTATGCCTTCACATGTTTTCTGGAATGTTTCAATTTAATTCTGTAAATGTTATGTATACGAGCCTGTAATGTGTTACAGCCGTTCGCACACAAAAGACAAGTTATAGTTTTAATACGGTTTGCATGCTTTCATTCGCACTTGGCGAATATTTTTATTTGTCTAACATAACCGTCAAGTTATTTCTTACAAGTCAATCCGTTCACGAGTCAGATTGTAACGAGTGTCGACGCGTGTAGCCGCAATCGAGTCACAAAGTTGCAATGCCATAGTGTAATAAATAAAATGTAACGTAATGAATACTTAAGATGGTTATGTCTTATAATATTTTATATCATGCGCATTATTTATGTAAATATCACTTAGTTCTCGCCACCTATTCACCGTCTGTGCTAACAGGGGCCGGGCTCTCGAGTCCTGTAATTTACTTACATGTAGTGGTTTCCTTTCCGTAGAGAGTTAGCGCGCGTAGTGGATCTAACTTATAATAAATATTCGTGGAGAGCTGATACGTTACACTTCGCCAATATTTTGCCATAATTATTGTTTTTCTAAAATTATTTTTACTAACTCGAGGTTTTTTTATAAGAGTCTGATTTTTGTTGTGATCAGTCATTGAAATTCTAACATATTTATATATTCTTTAGAAATTGATGTTTTAAAAGCTTGATATGTAGAAAGTGTTTAAGTGTCATTCCAGACAAAAGACAATATTGTCAGCATTTATAGATTATGTTTGTAACTTGTACATCGGTTTATCTCGTGGAGTTTGAAACATCTGTAAACTGCGTCCTTAAAATTGTTATAAATTCTGTAGTGTAGTTTTCAAAGTTAGTTTTTAGTTGTGTATTTGGCTACTTACCGTTTACGTTAGTGACTAATCGATTTCTAAAACAATAATGTCGAACCACTTTTTCCATTCTAATTCTCGTAGTGTTGATTTTAGACGTCGAAACGGTAGGGCGATTCGAGGAGATTTAAAAGTATTTTATGAAAAAAGTATTCAGACACTAAAGACCATTCAGTGTCAATAATAAAAAAACAAAAAACATGCTTAAATATGCGACAATATTTAGCGATCGGGGAGTATATAGAATATATTATTACGAAGACTACAAAACAATTATTAATTGCTGTGTAAAAATGTAAACCTATTATAAATGTGTAAATTGTGTAGTATAATATAAAAAGCTGTTTTATGAAGTGTTCTTATAAGCGTATGAGGAATAGTCTTTCCAATGAGATGGTTCCGCGGCGGGCGGCGGCCGACCCAGCGGTCCCTGCGTAGTCCTAATGTAAACGACTTGCTTCAGCGGCGACTGCGCTTGGCGCTTCATACATTTCCATACAATGAGGGTTTTCGCAATTGAAAAATCCGCCAGATGGCGGGACGTGGATGTGGGGTCTGACTGCTGCGTGATTGGTGGATTTTGACATATCTGTCAATGTCATGTCAAAAATAACCAATCATGCAGCATTTGGATCTCGCGTATTGCCATCTGGCGGATTTTTCAATCGCGAAAACCCTCATTGAAGACGCTTAGGCCCAGTTTCTGCTGAGCGCCTCGGTCCCGGCCGCCGCCCGCCCCGTGCCGTGTTTTGCCTTGAATTTTTGTTTAGCCATGTGTACGAACATGGGAGATGTTACGTTGATTTCGATGGATCAAAAATTATTTTTCCACTTGATCGTACGGTAATAAAGCGTGTAGTGTTAGAGGTGGGCGATAATTGTTGATTATTGATTAAAATTAGGTGTTTGTGGCATTGGATAGTAGTCGAGACGCGTTCGGCATGCGGCCGGTCGCGGGGCCGGGCGCGACGCGCGACTAGTCGCCGCAGCGAGACGCAACTAGTCGCCGCAGCGAGACGCGACTAGTCGCCGCCGCGTGTACACAACTAGTCGCCGCAACGAGACGCGACTAGTCGCTGAGTCCGCCCGACGCCCCGCGGCCCGCCATGGATTGTGTAGTTGTTGTTATCTTCAAGAAATGCAGAATGTTCAAGACGGCGTCGTTTGGTTCATGGGTATTTGTGATCATAATTATTGCATAGTTAATAAAATAAAATCTATATTATTATAATATAAAAGTCTGTAATGAAACCGGTAGTCGCCGTGCAGTGTAGCCGCTCGCGCCGCGGGTCGTGTCCCGATTGTCGTTTGTGTGACGCTCGTCTGGAGCGGGTTATACTCGTACTTGGCCAGTAACCGCGCGTGGGCTAATTATCGCTCTTAATTTAGCTATCTTTTTGACAGTAATAGTTTGCAAACAAATGTCCAAGGGATCCATCGAAAGATTTGTTTTGTTTCGTGTGGTTTTTCTTCATTTTTTTTTCTAAATTAGTTATTTTCTTTTTTGCTGTTCTCGGCGCAAAGTAACTAAAAACTAAAACATGGAATATATTCAATTGTTTTGCTATCACCATGCAAACTTTAACTTCACCATGTCTTAAGACACTAAACTTTAACTTTGCATTGACGAAACCACTATGTTCCGAATACGCACCATTAAGGCCATTAAAAAGAAATTTAAATTGTTATTTGTCAATTACTGTCTCGTGAACTGTCAAAAAGATACGCTGAATGAGGGTAGTGGGACTCGTCGTGCGGCGCGGCGGCGCGCTCCGGCCAGCGCACCAAGTAAGCTAACAGCTAACGGCGCGTACCATTAGTGAAATGGTCAATTAATGTTACAGCGTCTGTCATTCTAACAAGTTTATGTAGGAAACAAATTTGACTCTGAAATAAAAGAAGTTATTTAATTTTGGAAATGTTTGTTTTATTTAACGACCGCTTCGGTTTTCCAAGCAAATGAAACGAAGGGATTGATTTATACATTTTATTGACTAGCTTACAATAAAATTAGACACTAAATAATACAAATTTACAAAAATATAAAATACTTATTCGTAAATCGACGTATACTGATACACAATAATTAATTACCAGAATTGTTAATGGTTATTAGATTATATTTACACAATTATTTCTATATTACAAAATGAGATACATTGAAAATTATTTTAATGTGATGTTAATATTGAAGATTTCAAGAAATTATAATTTATAACATTTAATGAACAGAATTTTTACACAAAATGAAAATTCCCGGTCGATTAAATGTAATAAACGAAATGAAAATTGATAGAATATTTACAAATAGTAAATCTATCTACACAACTAAAATACAGCTCCCTTCTCATACCATACACTTATTGAACAGTTAGGTATTTATTTCAATACTCAATAGGCAAAAATGATATCAACGTATTAATAACAATCGTAACAATATTTATGTAGACGTAAAGTTATACACTTCTTTCTACATTTATTAAAGTAGAGCCCAAAATAAAAATACAAAAAGTATTTTTAATAATAAAAATTTGCGTTTAATAGCATAGCCATCATCTTAATTTAAAATAAATTAATATTAAAATGATCTCTTTTAGATTTAAAGACATTACAATACGTATAGGAACTTCTCGATGATGGCATTTAAATTACGACTAATCTCGTTGGGTCTAAAATGATCACCAAAGATCATGAGTGTTTTAATGTTAGAAGTGCCAGTCCAATCGTCATAATGTTAGTTGTAATGGGTATATTGTGTCATAGTTCGAGTAAAAAACCCGTTAGTCACCGATGTGCCGTTGGTTCAGACGCAGTCTGCCCACGGGCATCGGCTACACTATGACACACCCACACACTCATAAAATTCACTATATCTATTCTACTTTCACATGTTGCTTTCTCTAACAATTGCAAATCATTTTTCAAACTATTCTTTTTTATTGTATAAGTCGTTGTAATTGTAACCTCAGAAATCAAACCGCGCTTCGGTGTTAATTTTAACACCGCTTGTGCGATATTACTTTTGTAACTAATATGGATGTGTGTTGTTTATTGCAAGTGACTAAGGTTCACAACCGTATGTAACCTTGCCATTGCGCCAATGTCAACACAGTTCGTTGATATAGTGATCAAACAACTTAATGGTGATTCATTCAACTATTACCTAATCGTAATAAATATCACAGAGGTGTTATTTTACTTTTATAATTACTAAATACGCTACATTATAAAGTGTAATCTAGTTTGCGACACATACACCGGACGAGAGTGATTTCTCCATCATCGGTGTTGCTCGGCAGTGGAATGGTTAACGCAGGACCGCGTTCAGACTTCTAGATTGGTGTAGGCACACAGTACATCTACAGTACAGGATGTTTGGCAGGCATGGTTATGGAAACGTATAACTCCAACACAGTAAATGTACGTGTCTAAAATAGCGACTCTAGTTTGCTCAAATATCCTGTACACTTAAAGGCACTAAAAATGCATGTTTATAACTTCATCGTAGAATCAACATCAAAAATACAAATTAATTTACATCCTCTATACAATAGAGAATATAAAGTAAGTACAATCAAAAGCAGAGACAACCAAATTGCATCAATAAATTAGGTAACTCTACACCTAAAATAATAGATTTAAACTAATTTGAATGCTGATGTTGAGTATGATACCAGTTTTAATCCGTCGATTAACACATTGGCTGCGAGCGCCGCGCCGTACGTTATCCCTCAGTGCTAAAATCTCACACAAAGCGTGAGCGCCCGCACCGGCGTTCCGCGCGCTATCTGGATCCAACGCCTGTGCGGCCGAACACACATTACGCGTAAAAGTTCGACGCTACGGCTGTGCGGGCGCACACGTAAAGCGCGTAATAATCTGCCCATACGTCAGTGCGGCCCAACACATATGCTGTGTTTTTCTATAAATTATGATTTTCGAATGTTTCTTTTGTCAAATCGCGATCCTGACCACACATACGTTTTAAAAAGCAATATTACGATGAAAAATACTTGTTAATAATAAGTAAGTAAAAAGTAACTTGTATTTTTAACGTTTTACTTAACCTATTATGAAAGCGCGAGTTAATAACGAATCTCGTTTTCCAGAAAACTACTTACATAATGTTTAACTAAGTAGGTAAGTATATAAATGATTTATCGACATAACTCACATAATAATGGCAGAACGTTAAAGTGCATAACAATAACAATACATCCGACTTCGTTGTTATGAGCAATTTTTGTCCCCACCCCCCAATAAGAGAGCGGAGACTCAAAAATAAGCGTATATTGTTAAAGGCGTGCGTGTTCGTTAATTCATTTGAACTTCATTTATGTGTAAATATAAATAAATTAATCGTATTAATCAAAATTAAGTCCTGGTACTTAAAGGAACGGAAAAAAACAAATGAAACCGCGATTTAACTTCCTACAACGCCATCTATCTTACTGTAGAAATACAGGATTTTTTGAGGTAATAATGTTTCTACTTTATTACGACAGATGGCAATTAAGCAAATTAATGCATCTATCGTAAAAAAAAAACTGAAACACCATCGAAAGTAGTTAAAAATAATAATATTATTGACATTATTAAATGTAATAATCTACCAATCTTTAATCAAAACAGTCGGGTAAAAATAATACTCGCTATCTAATCATAGACTAGATTACGATGAATGATTATAATTAATATTTGTGTCTATTAAAAATTTATAAATGTAGAAGTAACTTGTATTACAAACGTGTACCTTCTACCTATAACGAAAAATGCGAGACTTCGCCGATAGTGGGTATTTTTATTAAATTCCAATTCCCAACTCTACAATATTAGAACAAAGTTGGTACGAACGATTGTTTTGGTTAAATAATAACTAGGAATATACTTAACACAATCTTTTTAACGATGAGTTAATTATATTCCTAGCTGACGACAAGACAGTCCAGATACTTATAAGAAACGGAAAAAAAAAAATGAAACCGCGTTTTAATTTCCTACAACGCCATCTATTGAAAAGTAGAAATTAATTATTTAAGTTTATTCCTACTTTCTACGATAGATGGCGCTGTAGGAAGTTAAATCGCGGTTTCATTTGATTTTTTCCTTTCCTATAAGTATTTAGACTGTCTTTGCATCATTACGATTAAAATGAAATTACATTTACAATGAAATTATTTATTTAATATTTATATTGAAATGTAAATATGTAATATAACAATATTTATTTATTCTCTCTGGCTTCAAACAGCTAAATTTTTGGAAAGCCTTCTCTCCCCTCTACTGGGGAGTAGA